CACATGCAAAACTTAATGCTTCTAGAAAAGCCTATAGTTACAGCCTTTACATGCCATTAAGTCTATAAACTGCACCAAATAAAGTTATTCACTGGCAGGAAGATAGCAGATTGAAGCTAGTCTAGATACAGTTTTAATTTAAGATAACTAAACAATGTTAGACAAGGTCTTTACCTCAGATTCAAGCACACACCCATACAAATATAAACCTTAACCAGTTATTCCAGGAAATAAAGTTTATAATCACCACCGAGGTTCAAGTTATAAAAACAAACCAAAAAAGGAACAGATATGCCTATGAATACACACCATTGGCAACTATCTCATTATACATTAATCACCAGAAAAAAAGACCTTCCCAAGTACGAGTGTATAATAATAATACAACTGTTGTTTTTAAGATAGTTAAGTCGTAAGATCACGAAGAGTTGCCACCTGAGCACAGTCCGGAACACAGGCTTCGCTCTAAGTTATGCAATTGATCACTCCCTCACCCAGTGCCTTCCCACGCCCCCTCTGCCGACAAGCCAGGAGTCATTCTTCACACACCCTCTGGGGGATACAAATCACCACATCACTTCTCAAGACGAATCAGAGTATTAAAACAACTAGTTATTCTTAGAAGTATTAATAAAAAGTATTTTTCAAAGTATTAAAAAAGTATTAAAATATTCACCTTTAGTAAAGCATATGTAATTCTAGGTTATTTTTCTCACCACTGAAAAAAGAAGGCAACGAACTCAAGAAACAATAAACAAAAGAAATGACTTTAAGAAATATCTCATGAAGCAAAGTGGTCAACCACCTAGCATAGCTATTGCATTTAGTTTAATCTTTATACAAAAGAATGAGACTTGAAAACATAGTCTTTAATACTTAATAACCTAGCAGACAATGTCACTGTTTTCTGAAAGCATACATCCCACGTCTTGTCAGGACACAAAGAACGCGATATTCAATATTCTCTCCACACTATGTTTATTGGGCACCTTCCATATGACAGACATAAGGACATTTTTAAAAACAGCGCTCTCAGCTCTTGCCTTCATAGATAACCAGGGATGGAGACAGAGGAACCAGTGGCTGTAGCACAGGACAGGTCTAAGATAAGCAATGGACCACCACAGGGCACGAGACCTGAGGGCACACTCAGAGGCCCCGGGAGACGATGGGAAGTGACAATTAGCAAGAAGCACTCTCCCCCACTAAAGCATCAGAAAGCCCAAACAGAAATACAACCTTAACGTCACTAACAGAGAAGGACAGGACTAAATAGCTTCGAGAAGCTTGTGCTATGAGCTATCATTTTCCACAATAACCAAGACATTAATTCAGCTTAAAATCCATCTCCTGGTGATAATATGTCAACACTGAGTTTAGGTCATCAATTCATTTGAAAATTCCAAAAGAATCTAGGATCCAGCTGCAGAGGGGTTGAAAAATACGCATTGATCAAAGATTACCTGCTTCTTTCGGAAGCCCTCCCTATACATCCAAATACAAATGCAAAGGGAAAAGCAAACATAACCAGGTTGATTCTAAAACATATTCTGATTTTCTTAAAAAGTGAACGTAATCCAAAAGCCAAGCTCATCATCATCCTAAACAGAAACCACAGAATTACCAGCGGTTGTGGAGGCTGCCTGAAACCACCAATCGTAAATGATCAATGCAGCTGTAAGAGTTGATAATAGATACTGATCACTGTACCTCCCAGAAAAGGAAACAAACCACAACTATACTCTCACACACACACGCAGAGAGATTACACAAATATATATGCGAGGTAGTGAAAAACCTAAGAAAACAGCACGTGGACATTCAAAAACAGCAACTCATTTCATTAGGAAAGCCTTCTAATAAAATCCTGGAGGTCATTTCTAAAAACAGGAATGTTCAGGTATAAGGGCGGAGGAAGGAAAACCTACAAAATGAAAAAGTTCTTCAACTTTCGTTTTGCTTCAGCAACTTTTCACCTGCAGAGTAACTCCCAGAAAAGGGGCTCTGGCAACGGCAGGCCAGTGTCACCCCAGAAAGGCCGCATGTCAGAGGACAGAGAGGAACTCACCTGGGTGCCTGCAGCCAGCGCTCGGGAAATCAGGATTTTTAAAGCACCAACTCGACTTAAAATCCCACAGAGTGAACCTCAGTATCTATTACTGAACTGAAAAGATAGTCCTTTTCCCAACCAGACATGGCAAACCTCTCAAACAATGATAAATAGGCCCATTCAGACGGAACACAACTATGTGCCACGATCATATTTTACATCCGAACTCTCCAAACCAGAGACAAGAATAATGCACTCATTCTTCTCAAAGACAACATGACCCTGAACTGCCGCCCACTGCGCACCAACGTCCTCACAGCATGGAGCCCAGAAAACCACGGAAGGTGAGGGGTCGGTCCGAGGAACCCGGCACATCAGTGTGCACGCTGGCCACCTGCACCCCAGCATGGACAGATGCTCGCTGCCTGACAGTGGGGTCACAGCCGGTGACCCCATCCTTGGTGAGAATACCGCCCGTGGAAACGCATGTGACAGACCTGACCTACCAGCACCCCGGCGCGGCCTCCCGACCCTGAACAGGCTCGGGCACAGCCCACAGCAGCAGAAGCCCCGCAGGTGGGGCTGCCGGCACCCCGAGGGCACCGGCAGGGGAGGCTGCATCAGTTCCCACCGGGTGGAGGGGCTCGCACCACCGTGAAGTCTGAAAGCCACGAGTCCCGAGCGGGAGGGGGGGGCCTCATTGAACCCGGACCTGGGCTCCCGCGGCGACGAGGGCACCAGGGGAGGCTGCATCAGTTCCCACCGGGTGGAGGGGCTCGCACCACCGTGAAGTCTGAAAGCCACGAGTCCCGAGCGGGAGGAGGGGGCCTCATTGAACCCGGACCTGGGCTCCCGCGGCG